CTTTATAGAGGTACATACTAAAGTATTCGGGTTAATTGGTGTGCCTGGATTTTACTTGAAGTATATGTAGGAAATGTGGGTGGAAAAGTGTGTAATACATGAAACAGTCATGAACTGGTAATTACGGATCTAGATTGATGTTATATAGGGATTTGTCCTACTGTTAGCTACTTTGTATACATTTAATACTTACCAGGATAGAAACTAAAAGTTGCTCCTGTTGGGTGACCTCAGTGATCTTTGGTTCAGGAAATGCAGAGCTATTACTGCAGTCTTTGTAAAGGTGTTTGTTAGCTCTTACTGAACTTAACTGAGCCAGAGGGAAGAAATCTCAGTAAAGATGTTTACCTTTAAGAAATGTTTGCTTATTGGGAAAACTTTTCTATTCTTGACTCTGTTATAGACATTGACCACATGGTCTGAAATTTGTAGAAATGATTTGACTAAGTTTAAAGTAATGAAATTGAAATAGTAAAGCATTTATGGTTACGTTTGCCAGTCACTGATTGGCGCCTGCATAGACCTTTTTCTTCAGTCTTCACAAGAGCTGTGATGGAGAGGTAGGTCTCTGTGGGAAAGCTGATGCTTAGGAAGGTTATGCAACTTGCTTCCCCAGGGTAATCCTGCCTAGCAATAAATAGCAGCTCTGAGATTTGAGGCTTGATTTATTTGCCTCTGGAATTTGTGTTCTCCATTATGATCACTTTCTTTAGTAAGAAATTGGATTGATCTAAGCATGTGTGCATTTTTTGTAAATTATTTACAATTTGAGCATCTACAGAGACTTACACATAAACATGCATTTGTGTTTCTTAGTAGAGACTCTGACCTTAGTTAGATGTTGAGTGTAAAATTAGCCTTTTGTTTTTAGGCATGAAAGATGGCCAGAAGATAACATTCCATGGTGAAGGAGACCAAGAACCAGGACTGGAGCCAGGAGATATTATCATTGTTTTAGATCAGAAGGACCATGCTGTTTTTACTCGGTAAAAATTTATAAAATACTCAAACTGACATCTTCTTGCCTTTTAGGGATTTTTTTTTCCCCCTCTAACTTGAATGAGCTTCTCAGTTTTAGAACACTTTTTTGAAGTAACCTAGAAAAGTATAGCAGAAGAATGAGGCTATGTAAGTCTTTTATAAATGATCGTTAAATCATTAATGTTTCAAAGAATCAGATTCTGTTTTTGTGTCTAAATTTATATAAATTGTTGCCTGATCTGGTTTTTGAAGGATATGCTTCAATTAGAAGATGTGTTGTATAAGTAGGTGGATTAGGGAATGCATCCTAGGACAAAATTTAGCTCCCAATTTTTTTTAATAAATTTTTTTCAGAACTAATTTTGAAATACGTGCCTTAAAGCTTTCACCGGTTTGTTTATTTCCTGAGTTCGTGATAAGCTTGGTTGCAACATTTGACTGGAATAGGACTACAGTAACTGTTGGGAGTGACATCTTAAAAAAAACAGGTTTTGAATTAATGGTGTCTCAACAGTAATGGGAAATGCCATCAAGTTCAGAATTTTGATACTGTCATTTGAGATGAATCCTCAGTGTTTCTGGAGAGTGGTCTGTGTGATGAAAAGATGTTGCTAATATGAACTGGAAAAGAAAGCAAGCACAAGGAGGAGGAAGTGTATTGTTATAAAAGGTTGAGTTCACAATGTGCCAAGCACTATATTAATTCATGTACATCAATAAAGAGATCTTACTGTTCCCTTGAAATTGGCCGTGTCCCCTTTTCATAGACCCTGACTTATCCAGGACCCAGTCAGAGATGTGTTCCACTGCCTAGAATGTGTGGAGGGATTCTGAAGCTTGTCCAGGAAACTCGGCTGGCAGGTTCCATGTATTTGCTGTTCCCTATTCTCAGGTCATTTTAAAAATGAGGAAGAAAGGGCATCTTTTGAAATATACCACTTGTTTCTAAGAACAGAATTGCCTATTTTGGTACTTGGAATCATTGGTGGTTTGAAAGCCCTAAGCAAATGCCGTGTTTCCATTGTACAGACGAGGAGAAGATCTTTTCATGTGTATGGACATACAGCTGGTTGAGGCATTGTGTGGCTTCCAGAAGCCAATATCTACTCTTGACAACCGAACCATAGTCATCACTTCTCATCCAGGTATGGTAACTAGATAAGTGTTTCTTTCTATTCTGGTGTTCATTGCTAGTAGCTAGTACAGGCATAGAGGAAAGTGGCGTTTCAGTATTGCTCAGAACATAACCATCCTTGAGCTGAGCTGAAATTGTGCATTCTTGACTCTTTTGTGAGCCCCTAGAAAATCTATAAATGAAATTATAGAAACCAGGATTGTTTCACATAAATGTATTCCTGTCAGTGAGCTAGGATGTTTCTCTGTTCTTTATTTTCCCTGTCTCATAAAAATATGATTGTATTCAAGGAGTTTGGCTTTAATGTTTCTAGGTCAGATCGTCAAGCATGGAGATATCAAGTGTGTGCTAAATGAAGGCATGCCAATTTATCGTAGGCCATATGAAAAGGGTCGCCTAATCATTGAATTTAAGGTAAGCTTAGTACTTCAGAAATGTTTGAGGATGATTAGCTTATTAAAATTGGTAAGTTTCTGGATTGCCGGACGTGTCAGATTTATATTCTCCCCTGTCTAAATCTAATATTTTTCCTGTCATGTTGAACATTCTTTGTATCAAGCTGGTTTATCTGCATTACTGTGGCAGGGAAGGGGATGCATGGCAAGTGGGTATTTTACTAATGAAAGGCTATCACTAGTATCTTTAAAGTACAACAGAAGCATGTTAGCTAGTGTGGATTTCTGACAAAATACTGTAATGCTCTGGTTCTTAAAGCAATCCAACCATTTCCCTTAACCTTAAATTGAGTCACCTCAGACCCACAAATTTAACATTTTAAAAATTGCTTTCTGGTTAAGAATAGTTTTCTTTAAATATCCATTAAGAAGGGTTAGAGTGTGTTTTAGGCTGGGTTCTGTTAAAATATATTTGCTGAATAGAAATGATCATTACAGTGCAGTTACTATTTAGTAGGGTTTTAAGACTTTACTTTGAACTTAGGTTCAGAATAGTAGATGATTTGACCATTTGTTCTAACTAACCTGGGATTGGCCAATTTACCAAATAATTGTGTGGTTACAAATGTGTGTTCTGGGAAAATGGGTCAATGATAATGTGTCTAAGGAGGAATGAAATAAATCATTTAAACTTCATTTAATAGGTAAACTTTCCTGAGAATGGCTTTCTCTCTCCTGATAAACTCTCTTTGCTGGAAAAACTTCTGCCTGAGAGGAAGGAAGTAGAAGAGACTGATGAAATGGACCAGGTAGAATTAGTGGACTTTGATCCAAATCAGGAAAGACGGCGTCATTACAATGGAGAAGCATATGAGGATGATGAACATCATCCTCGGGGTGGTGTTCAGTGTCAGACCTCTTAGTAGGCCTGTGAATAACACTCACTGCTGGGGTTTTATTGCAGTAGTGATTGAGTGAAGGACTATAATCATAATATGCTCACTACTTGCTTTTGTTTTAATATTCAACTATAGTAGTGTTTAAAAGTTAAATGAAGAATAAACTCGAATATAAAAGCTCTGACTTTGCCCTTTATGTATGATGACTTCAGTGTGCAAGATAAGTTTAATACTTGTAAAAACGACTTTAAAAAATTACCCCTAGCATTTGTTAGGCCATACTTTGTAATTGATTTCAGCTATGTACATGGAATAGCTTAGACTGAAATGCCAGGTATATGTATTGACTTCAGTGTATGACTCTTAATTGTTAAGCTATGAAATTAAAACTGTGTTTAACTGGCAGTCAGACAAAGAAGTTAATGTAGAGAAGTGTTGGTTTGTATAGTTGTAGTAAGTGGGATTCATTGTGATGCTTCTGCATTTATTCTATTGCCTCAACTGTTATTTGAAGATAGCATGCTGTATAATTTAATTTAGCCTTTGGTATCAGTGATAGAAATGATACCTTTGTCAAGAAGGGGTTTATCATAACATGCTGCTTCTTGAGGGCTTGCACTTGTAGAATTGCATTCCCTTCTTCTGCTGTGCCATCTTTTATTAATATATATAGCTATTGGTCCTGGTTACTTTTTTTGCTACTTCTCCCCCCACCCCCACCCCCCCTCTTTGGACCACAGTAAGCCTTAGAATAGTGACTTCTGGAGCAGGGAAACTTAGAGGTTAGAGTGATGAGACCTTTACATGGAGAAGTAATTTGCATGTATGAGCTAGGAAGGTGTTTTTGTAGGTATGTTACAGGCTTACTTTAAACCATTTAACTTATGCTCCAGAGTAACTGTAATTTAATGTTGGTAGTATAGCAAATTATGATGAATAGCTTTAATTGTATGTTTAAAGTCATATGTTCACAAGCTTAAATCTGGTATCAGAATTTAAGCAATTCTTGAAATGTATGAATGTCTCTTTAATATACTGATTACAAAGCATGTCCAGTGTGTCACCACAGGCTTTTTTTTCCCAGGTTACAGCATTGGCTTTTCACTAGTTAAGATTAACTAGTTTCATTTAACTAAAGTTAATAACACCAAAAATATACTGCTAAACAAGGGTGGGAAGTGAAAGTGGAGGGATGAGTAATGAGCAACAAATGGGATTGGGGGGGATGGGCCTTAAAAATTTTTGCAAACACTGAAATGGAATGCGAGTTTTTGCTTGTTCTACTCTGATTCTGTATCTCTTATAATCAGGAACCTTAAACAGTTCTAACATGGACGTGTATGTCACAACCTAACTTCCCCTTACAGCACTTGAGGTAGAACAGACTGAAACTCGTGTGAAGTGCCTATTTCCCACACATTCAGGATTCCTCTCATACTGACAGTCTTAATTGATAGCCTCTCCCCATTCTAATATTCTTGTGTTATCCCTCTTTAATCTGTGGTTTAGAAAGGTAAACAAAGTATTGGTCTAAAAAACTCCACGATAAACCGTCTTATAAGACATTTTAAAAATTATAAAAATTGTTATATGAGGCTTTAATTAATATTTATTAGTCATGAGGGAAATAAAATGAAAATTCAGTGAAATATACCACTTTGTACCTAGTAACCAAAATGGAAACAAGTGAGAATAGGAAGAAATATGAGAACCGTGTACCTTATTGGTGCTTCAGCATCAGTCCTGAACATTCTATTAGAGGGACAGATGCTGAAGCTCTCAATACTTGGGCCATCTGATGCAAAGAACCGACTCATTGGAAAAGACCCTGATGCCGGTGTTTTAACAGGTGAATGAACAAAATGTGTTATGTATGTCTTTGTGACAGAAAGGCCTTACATTTGTATGAACTATCTAGGCAGATTCATCGCGCACAGATTACCAAGGGCTGGGAGGGATGGAGACTTAGTTTGAAAACAATGATGGTTGCACAACAGTTAATAAGGTTAGTGCTGCTGAATTATACATACTCAAAGACGGTTGAGTAAGCTTTTACTTTTGTTTGACCACAATAAAAAAACTTTAGACATCACTAGAAGAAAATAGTAATAACCTGGAGAGGCAGAAACTGACAGGTTTGTAGTCTGTAAAAACAAACACCAAAAGTTAGTTTTTTTTAACTCCAGCCAAGGTCATCAAAGAAATAGTGCATTCACAGAAGTGTAGCTCCCTGGCCCCAGCCCTAATGCCTCCTTAATGATGCTCCCCTGTCCATTCATACTTGCAGGGAATAAAAAGCTAATTTTAGGTCCCATGAGGGTCTTAGTAGATGGAACATGGTGACAAATCTTGTGAAGTTAGCGTTAGATTTCGTCAGGTGTATAATGCTGGCTCTCAACCTTGGCCACAAGTTACCTTGGAATCTTTAAAACATGATGTGTCTCAGGTATTTTGGTACAGTTGAGCTATGAGTAGCCTAAGCAACCAGGATGGTTATATACAGCCAAGGCCATACACCACCACCATGGGGATATAGTTACATTAAATCACTAGAACAGTAATACCATTGTTAGAATTGCTGTGTGGAGAGTCAAAGAATGGCAGCCCCTGCTATAGCAAGTCTGTTCCAAACTGAGGGAGCTTCATACCTTAAGACATACTGGTAGTTTCCTGTTTTGAAATAATGTGGGGAAAGGAAGCATAGGTTCTAAAGGCACAGTGAGTAAAACATGTTTGAGCAAAGTACAGCAGTAATGTTGCTTTTCCAACAGTATCACTTCACTTGATTATCTCGGCCACCTTCAAAGACCAACAGAACAAGCATTGAAACACCTGCCTTAAAGATGTTGAAAAGGACCCCTGGTCTACTTACTGGTTCTCAAGTTTGCACATGCTTGCTGAACCCCACTGCTGTATTTGGATGCTCTTTCTACTCCTCTCACCGCCTGTGTTCAGATAAGTCAACCAAATGTGGAGAAACACCCATGGATTCTCTGCCTCTATCCAAACCTTAAGATGGAAGAAAATGTGTGTGAGCTCTAGGAGTAGGTGTAAAACCTTTGGCAACCTGTTTCTTCACTTGTATCATGGGACTCAGAATAGGCTGGTGCTCATAAAGCAGTTCTGAGAAACAACACTGCTCACGTAGGAAGGACTCAGGAAATAGTGGTAGAAATACAAGTTGAAAAATAATTAGTTAACAGAACACTGAATTATACCTAAGACTCAAACAACTGCTGTGAAATACTAGGTCATTAAATGTTTTACAGAGTCATTACTGCAACAATTGAGTGGGAGATGGAACAACTCATAAAGTTAACTTTTTGGGGGGCAGGGGTTGACTTGAATGCCATATATTTTGAGTTTCTGGCTTCCCAGCTAGTGCAGTGATAACCAGCCAATGCAGGACACCCAAGAGATGCAGGTTCAATCCCTGGGACAGGAAGATCCCCAGAACAAGAGATGGTAACGTGCGCCAATATTCCTGACTGGAAAATCCCATGACGGAGCCTTGAGGGACCCAGTTCATGGGGTCCCAGAGAGTTGGGCATGACTGAGCAGGCATATGTGCATTTTGAGTTCCCAGTGCTAGAGAGGAGTGTGAAATACATGGGCTGTAGTAGCTCTCTAGGAACCCAGGTTGGGGGTGGTGGGTTGGGGGGTTGGTGCAAGCAAGGGCCCAGGAGCCCTTGTTCCCACACTGCTCAGCCAGGCCCAACCCAAGTCCTCCACCACCTCTGCCTCTCCCCAGGGCTCCCCCTGCCTTCCGTACTGGAGGAGATGACCAGGAAGAAGGGACTGGAAGAAAAAACGGGGAAGGCAGATTTTTCCTCCCCAGTTTTGTGCATTAACTTCCTTAAGAAAATATACTTACTGGCCTGTTTCTAGTCCTCCCCACCTGGTCTCCCTGGACCTTAGATCTGTGCAGCACGTACCTTGCACCGGTGGCACACTGCAGGGCCTGGAAAGGCCCCCCCTAAGATCACCAAAGCCCTTGACCTTGAGCTCTTGATGGTCCTTTGCACAGTCAACTGCAGAAAACTTTTCCTAAGCCATTAGGTCTGGATAATGCTTCCCCAATCATCAAAACAACTCCGGATTTCCTCTCATCAACCACTAATCCTGTTAACTTGCTGCTTTTCCCCTATCCTGTGACAGAAATTGGTCTTTTTAAGCATCCTGAGCATTAGATGCAAGAGCAGAAGAGATGTTTGCTAAAAATTCCTAGAAGAAATAAGTGTACCGGTGCTGACTAGATTCTTGCTATGAGCCTTGGCACAAAGAATGCCTCTCAACTGCCAGTTCATGAGGTCATGGGCTAAATCAAACTGGTTTCTTGGTTTTTGTAAGGAATGGTTGCAGGAGCTCTTTTCTCTCCACCTTAAACTTCTTTTGAGTGAAAGCTGCTCTTCACTGAGAGGAATGGCAGGCTACAGTCATGTAGACGCATGGCTATGGTTCAACTCGCAAAATGACACCAAATGACATTCTGGGGAAAAGTTCACGTTTTGTGGTAAAAAGACCAAATTTGGGGAGTGTAACTGGGAAAGATGGATTTCAGCCATCTTTTCAGCCAAAGAATTATTCAGCCAACATTTTTACATGCTGCTAGGCATTGCTCATGTTTAATACAGATAAGGCTGTATTTCAAGTGACAAAGGTTTTCAAGACTGCAAAATTCTCCTCACCTGTACCTACTAATTGGCAAAATTAAGGGGCATAAAAGGCCTCCATAAATAAGCTCACTTTCTTGAAAATGGTACCCAGCACAGTATCTTCACACATCAACATAGGCATTCCACATACATCGGCTGAAACAGAAAAGACCCACATGCAAAATATTGCTGAGTTTTTGTTTTGTAAATCTCTTTTCTAATTTTTTTTTCATTAACAGCAGCACATTTTCAATGCAAAAACCCTCCTCTGCATACAAAGGCGATATGACAACTGAATTCTCATAGTGGATCCTGCAATTAGTTAAGAAAAAATGAATGCCCTGGGGAGGGCAGTGAAATGACATCCTGTGGGAAACCGACTTCAGGGATAATAGTGTAGTGTCCCACCCTTTTCATGTACCGGGCATTTCTTTACATTTAAAAACAAAGCCTCCAGAAAGGTGTAAAGTTTATTAACATCTTAAAAAAAAAAAAGGTGGGACAATAAGACAGCTAGTGAATTTGGGATAGTTCCTTATTTACAAGTTTTACTGCGAGAAGCCCATTTCAATCAAAGCGTTTTGAATAATCAAAGGATATGCTCTCCGCATAAAAGATTGACAGCATTAAGTGACTGCCCCAGTTAGAGTGAATACCTTGAAAATATATAAAAAAAGGTAACTGCTACTTAAACATGAATTTTCACAAAATTATTCTTGTGCCTAATTCAGACAATCTGTTTAGAAAAGCTGGCCTTAAAAAAAAAAAAGCAACACGTGAGTATGTCTTCATTTTAAGTACATGCTCTCAAACTAGTTTAAAAAGAAAAGCTGAATTAGGGTTTCCAAAGCTTTAGCAATCCGTCTTCACTGTAAGTAGCAATCAGGTTCTGATGAGGGTGATGTGCAATACCAATCACATCCTTCTCGTGAACCTGGAAGAGGGAAGCACAGAATCAGGGTACAGAGGTCGCTAACAAATCACTGAAGAAGCTTCCAAAGAGCTGAACGGTGGGTAAGAAGAGTGAAGCTTCTACTTCTCACCAAAGGAATCAAACCTAAGGGAGCCTCAGAGAGGGTTAAACACACAAACCAAAAACTCAAAACGAGGCTATCAGATGGCTGATCACATTTTCTGTACTGTTCTTCAAAATGTGTGTATGCCAAACCACTTTTGGTACTACAGCTGGTCCCAGTCATCATCCATTTTGCAAATATTAGGCCAAGACAGTGGCTGAGACTGAACAATTCCTTCAACCGAGTGAATTCACTATTTTCCTCAGCTAGAGGACACTGGCCACCTCATTCTGTTTTGTTCACATCTTTGCTCTCTACTGGAGGAGGCTTCACAAGGCTGGTGTACCAAAACTTCACTCAACAACAGTTTGAGATGAGATGATTTTTCTTAACAGGTATGTTTACAATTTTTTATATACATTCACCAGACCATTTCTTCTTCCCAGCTGTAGACGACTGCATTTTCCCTGTCCACTTCTCCTTTGCATTTGGGCTGTTGGCAGCACTAATTCTAATCAAAAAAGAATGATGGACAGAATAATATAAACCACTTCCAGATGTGAGTCTTTAAAACATCCAGTATGACCCCTTCAATTATCTTTTCTCCTAAGACTTAAAGGCCACATTTCCCAAATGGCACAGCTAAAAGATGGAGGAGGAGGATGCAATTTACATCACATTGTGACATAATATTGTGTTAGGTCACTGAAATTTGAAGAGTGTTACAGCAACTGCGTTAATTATTCCTTGTTACTAACTCAATGCTGCTGAAAAAAATCATTAATCAATTTGACAAGTAACTAGCCTTTGAAAGCACATGCAGAGAACTAGCTTATATCTGTCACTCCAACCACCCTGAGGAGGTTTAACTATAGCTGGCTAGACAGGCACATTCCTTTTCCTCCTCCTCTATGTGTACACATCCTACCCACTAGAAGCTGAGGGCTCACTGAAGGATGACTTTTCCAGATACAGGAGGTAATTCCATACAATTACTTATGGGCCCTTTATTTTACTTAATGACACTTTTACATATTTTTACATCAAGATTCACAAGAACAGCAGTCCGAAAAAGGTTTACTTCTGAGTTCAGAAAGATAAGCATTAGCGATTTCTGTAGATGGCCTTAAGTCAGTAATACTTACTGTCAGCGTTCTCTCCAGCTTGCCAGTGACGGTGCTGAAGCAGTAGAGCACAAAGTCCTCCCCTACACAGTAGATCCATTCGCCACGGGGGGAGAGGGCACAGCACACAAAGTCACCACCTTCTCTCTTACCGGAGCTGAAGCTTCTGACAATCTAAGCACAACACAGCCCCAAGTAAAGACACTGGATTAGCAGTAGTTCCGCTGCAGCAGGGGAAACGTCTGACAACTTTATGTTATTTTGTACTCTGGTTTACTGTCATTTATAATTAGATTACCAATTCCATTCACCATGTGCTAAATCCTCTTGACTGGAAAATATACAAAAGATAAGCTATTGTAAGTCAGTGGCAGACAGAAATTTACACTTTCCATATCCCAAATCACCAATACTACTCTTTAATCTATTGAGCCATTTTATCCTGAAGCAAATTTGTTACCATACACAACTGCCTAAATCAACATGCTACTGGTTCTCAATGCTCTGTGACCCATCCCCCCAGTTTCCTCTTTCTAACAGAATGAGATGCCCTCCCCATTCATAATGGAACTCTATCTCTTGAAGACCTTGCTTGATCTATTTTACATACCACTTAAATCATCATAAATCAAGTGGAGAGAAATCAATCTCAAAAGGTTTAAAGGTTACATATTGTGTGACTTATTTACTATACTCAAAATGAAAAATTAGAGTAGCGTCAAATAGCTCAGTGGCTGCCAGGGGCTAGGGTTGTGAGGAGAAGGATTTAACTACAAAAGTACAGCACAAGGGAGTTTCTTTGAGGGTGATGAAACAGTTCTATACCTTAACTGTGGTGGTTACATAAATCAAAACGAGAAACGAGATGAAATTTCACAGAGCTGTTCACGTCCCACCTCAAGATGAATGGATGTAAAGACAATCTAGATAAGGCTCATATTTGAGTTAATAGTCTTGTACCTGGTTTTGATGTCAATTTCCTGGTTTTGATAATGATACAATGGCTATGTAAGATGTTATCATTGAGGGATGCAGGGGAAGGGTGTGTATAGAAACTCTGCCCTGTTTTTGTAACTTCATTAATCCAAAAAATTTTAACGTTTTTTTAAATTTAATTTTAATTAAAAAGTCAAGCAGAGGCACCCTCCACCCCTCTTCTGATGTCTATGTCAGAAGCTTTCTCTCTCCTTTTTTTACTTTAATAAAACTCTGCTACACAAAAGCTCTTGAGTGATCAAGCCTGGTCGCTGGTCCCGAAGCTAAGTCTTCTTTGGAGATCATTAATTCGAATCATTCACCATAAGCTATCGGGGGCTCATCTGGGATCTTCAAAACAAGGTAAGGAACTCAGAGCTCTAGCCTGCCTGTTCTTTTAGTGTCCTTTTCCTTTACTAACCACGGCGTGCCTGTGTGTGTGACTGACTGAGAGCCTGAGATTCAGAAAGAAGTACGAAGCAAGCATACTAAGCAGAGCCCTGCTCTGTGGTTTCAGGGTGCCTCGTAATGACTGAAGGCTGCTCCAAAATGGGGAGCTTTGTCGGGTTTATATCGACTTGCCAATGCCAAAAGGCACCCAATATCCCTGTGAGAGGAGCAGCCAGAAATGAGCAAAGCATGTGGACCAAACTCCCCTTTCTCAGTCACCTTTTCCTGGTCTCTTTGACCATTCCATAACTGCCTGGGGAATTAGAATCACTAACCTAATCAGCTGGATCATAGACTTTCAAAGGACTTGTGATCCATGTTGTTACTGTGTACTTTTACTTAGACCCCAAGCTTGGAATAATCATGAGAACCCAGACTTGCTAGGAGCACATTCGGGAATGAGGTGGAACGAACTCTAGCTTCAGCAGCATCTCTCTCGGCTGCTTCCATATGGGGCCAGAGTCCTAAAAGCGAGTCCTTGTCATAGCTGTGCCTTCAAACGCTATATGGATGGAAGTGCTGCTGGCAAGCATGAGGTTTCTAAGAACCTAGAACCTAAGTCAGGAATCCCAGAAAGTACAGTGGGCTACTTCCTTTGTAAAGGAAGAAAAGGCTAATGACATTAAGAGGCATTGTATAAGCTAACTCAGGAAACACAAGGTAATTGGTTTAAAGTTTTACCCATAGCTTTAATGAGGGCTCAAATGCCCCTAGGAAGTGACTGGCTCTATGGCAGACCATTTTTGTGCACCAATATTGTTATAGATACTGAAGCCTTAGAATTTACTATGTGACTCAGCTTTCAATCTTACAACACACATTACGAGAACTCTGGCAGGTGACCCCTGATCCAGTCTCCAAAACTGGTCTAATTGCTAGATCTGCAAAATGCTCTCTTCATCATCACTGGAAGGCTTCACGTGGTGGGTTTCTCTGATTCAAGGAAAGGACTTTCTTCAGTTGTTAACCAACAAAAATCATGTGACGCTTCTTAATCTGAAGACATCTAACAACCCTAAAATGGACTGGTATAACTCACTGTACCTTAACTATGGACATAATGTGACTTTTAATTCTGATTATGTTTTAACTTGGTTTAATGACTATTTTGCCTTACATCTGTGACTGTATAATGGGATTTGTTTCTAGCCGTCTAAAAGCTTTTAGGTTACAAATGGTTGTTCATGCCGATACAACTTCTACAACCTCCTTCAACTTGGGGTTCCTGGATTAGAAACCCTCAATATGCAGATTAGGAGAATATGTTGCCTCAACAACTTAGGGACAATGCCCCCATCCCAACAGGAAGTAGTTATGGAATGCAAATGCCCCCTTTTTCCCTTGGCAACATAATTCTCCTAAAAGAAAAAGGGGTGAATGACAAAACTAATTCTTAGGTAGATTGATAGGGAGTCCAGGGTCCTCAAAGGAGGGAAGGGGTCCAGGGCTCTCAAGGAGGAGAAAAGGACAAACTTTTTTTCCCCCCTACATTCCTTCATCTTAGTCACATAAAACGTTTTTTCTTTAAGCCCAGAGCTAATGGCTCAAGGGTTATGTTTTTCCTTAAGCTCTGTACTAATGATTATATAAGAACAATGTATCTCCTTCTTAACAAGAACCTGCTGACTAATCTTGTAATGTTAAGATGTATGTTGTGGGGAGTGGGTCTGGTAAGATCTATTGTTAGTTCTAATCTTGTTAATTTAAGATTTATGATGTGGGAGTGGGTCTGGTAAAAGTATATAAGGTCTTGATAAGACTACACTCGCCATCCCCTTTCTGATGTCTGTGTCAGAAGCTTTCTCTGTCCTCTTTATACTTTAATAAAACTCTGCTACACAAAAAAAAAAAGTCAAGCAGAAAACTAGGAAGTGGGCAGCTGTGGCTATTATGCAGTGTCCCAGCAGTACTGAGGACCAGCCATCTCAACCATGGATTCGTCACCACCAATTTATCTTTTATAGGGACTCAAGCAATGGAAAGACAGTTCCATACACCAGCCCCTGGGTCTTCTCCATGCTCAGCAAGATCCCCAAGTACCCAGGTCAACATTTCAGTAGCATCACAACACATCCAAGGGCTTGAGAGCTCAACTTTGATACTCCTCATGTCCCTGGTGCTACAAAGTGTGGTTCTTTGGGAACCAGCAGGTGTGCTGATTACGAACACACATCATGAAGACACTGTTGCTCTTCTCCTACTGGAGTTCCACCTTAGATCATATGGTAGCTAACAGATATCCCAAACTCTTAATCCACACACTGTGTCTCCTTCCCTCACAGAGAAATTGTTATACCTTAAAATCTTCAGTGAGATTCTGAAGAAGATTTAAAGATAGACCAGGGGACTTCCCTGGTGATCCAGTGGTTAAGAATCCCCTGCCACCTGCAGGGGACACGGATTCAAACCCTGGTCCGGGAAGATCCCACATGCTGAAGGGCAACTAAGCCTGTGTGCCACAACTACTGAAACCTTGCTCCATAGCCTGTGAGCAGCAACAACTAAAGCTCAGCTGCTCAAGCCTGCGCTCCACAACAAGAGGCCATCACAGTGAGAATCCTATGCACTTCAACTGGAGACTAGCCCCTGCTCGCCACAACTAGAAAAAGCCCATATGCAGCAATGAAGACCCAGAGCAGCCAAAAATAGAAAATCTGTGGTTAAAACCCAGCAATATCAAGTCCCAACACATTTTGAATGACCATCTACTATATGTCAAATGGTTTTTTCCAGTTCTTTCACAGACTTACTAGCTCAGTGACTCAGAAAGTATTATAACCTTTGTGAAATTCAGTTGTAAATAAAAATAATGCTGTGCACCCATCTTATCTNAAAAAACTTCTTATAGTCCAAATACCTAGCATTGCCATATACAAAAGAACTCCCCTATTTGCAGATTAACTGATAAAAACAACAAAAACTCAGAAAGCTAAATAATAAAACTCTTTTAAAATTTATGATCTTTTCCTATAAAATTTCCCTTGGCTAACAAGCTTCCTAACTTTGAAATTAGCTATGTGTCAACACTGCTACTGTCATAAACAACCAGAAAGCTACTCGGTCCCAGAGGTTTTTAAAATTTATATACTCAGGATGCTGAGATTCAAATTTGGTGGGTCTAGTGTGGGATGTATGTAGCTTTGTGTATTTTTTAAAAGCTCCACAAATGATTCAGTTTGTACTGAGAACCACTCCACAGAAGTCACAATGTCAACAGCCACAAGCAAGGACCCGTGAGGCGAAGGCTACTCTTGGCCACTTGGATGCCCTCTCCCAGTCCGACACCTCTTCTAATAGCTCTCCACCCTAGTCCTTTTCACCTTGTCCTTCTGCACTATTATGAACTGACGCAGATAAATCAGACATCGTAGTTACTGAAGTCTGAGACATGCTTAGAGAAGGGATGAACCAACTGTAGCCTGTGTCTGGACACCACGACATCGTGAGCAGTGATGATGTAAAAACCTCAAAGGCATGACTACGCTGTGTTTCTTCTGTGCCTTCAATGGAGCCTAGCATAAAATGGATGTTGAATAAATACCTAGAGAAAGGAGGAAATAGTTGCCTCACTAGTTGTCTCAATATTTATTTCCTTAATAAATAGTGTATCATCTCCCCCAATCGCCTCTCTAAAGCCCAGCAGCCTAGGAGAGAAATGAACATTTCAGTGATCAAGGGACTTCTAGAGTTTTCTGTCCAAAAAGTCAGTCAGATATTTTACCCCACCTATTGCAAAAAACTAAAGGAAAAGACTACAAAACAAAGAGACCTGTACAAGCTACCTCCCAGTGGCATTCCTATAGGCTGTAAGGCCCATATTCACAGCAGAGAGGGCAAACCCTGTGAATAAAGCACCAAGAACTCTGTGTATTTCCGTTCCATCCTAAGGAAGGGTACATCTCCTACCTTCAGACTTCTGGTTCAATTCCCAAGCCATCACAGAAAGGGGTCTGACTGTTAGGGATCTGTGTTAGGATGTTTAGGTCTTCTGCCAGAGAACATTCATTTACAAAAGGCAATTTAAAAGCAGATGTACAAAAAAAAAAAAAAAAAAGCAGATGTACAATGTAAATGGAGTGTCTCAAAGATCTCTAGCAATTCTCAATTTGGACTGCCCATCTTTTCTAGGAAATGACGCACTCTCTTGAAATAACTAAATCTCTTAAGGCACTGAAGATCTATTACTTTCAGCTGAGAGCTGAAGGTAGCAAGTAACTAAGAGGACTTAGTTCTACTCTGCACCCATCTTGTTCCTCATTAATGCTATCAGAAAGGTCCTAATGTGGGGGGCCGGGTGTGAGGTGAAGCTGTGCAATAAAAGAAACCTATTTATTCTGCTACTGAGCCCTTTGTGAATTTGACTTTGTGGCAAAGTCAAATGTAACCACTGTAAACAGGAGTTAAGTTTAGAACTCTACACCTTTTCCTACGTATCATATAGCCTGTAGGTTTGAGATTTGAGGTCCTAGGCCAACAGGAATTACCCACAGATTATGATTATTGTCACAGATCTCAATTATGGCTAAAATACAAGAATAAAGAGGTTTCAGTTCAGTCGCTCAGTCATGTCCGACTCTGCGACCCCATGAATCGCAGCACGCCAGGCCTCCCTGTCCATCACCAGCTCCTGGAGTTTACTTTAGCCACCATAATTATCACCATTATCACCAGTGAAAACTCCTCAAAGGGCAAAATAGAAAAAATGTAATAGATAACCCAAAATACATCAGTAGCAAATACTTAACCTTTACAGTGCCATCAGAGGATGCACTGATAATATAATGTCCGTCCTGTGTGAAGGTCGCTTCATTGACAAAGGAGGAGTGGCCACGGAATTCCTTCAGGGTTTTTCCAGATTTTAAACCATGAATTCTATCGCAAATGAAAAGATCAATTAATATCCTGTACACTGTGGTTGGAACCAAGTGTTGAAAGCATTTTAGATGAATTACAGAAGCTCATGTCAAAATATTAAGAACAGGGACTATGCAATTATATATGCAGTAGTATTTTCATTATATCTAACAATCAAACAAAACCAAAACAAAAACTTTGCAGAGAGGCTTGAAGAAAATATGCCACTGATACCACAGCTTCTGTTCAGTGACAGACTTCTAGGTCTCTGTTGGGTCCTAAGAATCTGTATTTGTCACATGCTCTCTAAGGTGACTCTGATGCAGGTGGGTCCACAGACCACACTTTGAGAAACATGAAAGTGAAGTCGCTCAGTCGTGTCCAACTCTTTGCGACCCTGTGGACTGTAGCCCACCAGGCTCCTCTGTCCATGGGATTCTCCAGGAAAAAATCCTGGAGTGGGTTGCTATTTCCTTCTCCAGGGGATCTTCCCGACTCAGGGACTGAACCCAGGTCTCCCACATTGCAGACGCTTTAACCTCTGAGCCACCAGAGAAGCCCATGAAGTGCTGCTAAAATCCCCTTCTGATCTCTCTTCTGGGTAAAGACCCAAATGGATAACACAATAGCACTGTGTCAGCTGTACTTTGGGGGAATAAGGTCCCACATTTATTTATTACTCATTTATTCCCTAACTGTCCATATAAAGGAATCCTAGTGAAAACACAGAAATCACTAACTAGTACCTCCCTCTGAAGTTTCATCATATCAAACAAAAGTGAGGGCAGTTTGGAAATTTTTACTTACCTAATTGTCTGGTCAAAAGAGGCACTAAGGATCTGACTGCTGTCCTTCGAGAAGCTTAGACAGGTGACACCTTTGCTGTGAGCCCTTTCAAATCTCCTTAAACACTGCCCACTCTGAATCTTCCATACCTTTATTTTTTAAAAAAAAAAGAATAGTAAAAACTTGTAAATACAGTGTCCCATGTCCCCCTCCTACTCTGCAGAGCCAGGCAAAATACAGGGCTCACTAAGGCACTAAAAACAGCATTAAAAATGCATGCCAATAGCTGGATATATGTCTGGTTCTCAAAGTACAATGACAACTTGAATCCTATGGAACTTAAACCTCTTTCCTTTTAAATTATTAAAACAAAAATTTAGACTCTTAATTTCCCTTAGCAGAGACCGTTTCTGTATTTTATCTAGCCCAGGGTATTTGACCAGCAATTAAATACAAGCCATAGCTGATCAACTGCTAAGCATCTGCAGACCACCACCCCAAAGCAAAACACACCATATAAGGTAAGCTATGGTGGCACAGCAGAAAGGGCACGAGCAGATCTGAAGTCCCAAATCTATCACCAACTGTGTGACTTTAAATTATTGGACCTCCCTAAGCAGAGTTATTATCAGGATTAAATAAGAAAAACTAAAATGACTGGCATAAAGTTGATGCTCAATAAAGAGTAGTTTAAAAAAAAAAACCCTATGTAGGGACTAGCTCGTCACAGAATTCTCAAAATGTCTACATATAAGAGTTCATGTCTCTAATTTATACCTTGATTTTTCCATCTTGGGCACCAGTTGCTAACATTTCTGTATCTCTGCTGAAGCACATACAGAGAACAGCATCATCCATCATCATAAAGTTATCCTGCGCCTGGTACTTAAGATCCTAAAGGAAACAATGATAAGCAATTATCAAAATTACACAAAAACACCCGTTACCCCAGGTCTCTGCAAACTTACTGGAAGCAGGATAGTAGATTGTGCTGATTAAATCTCCAAAGCAAATAGTAGTGTCATGAACATTATCCTGATGAACAACTGATAACACTCGGAGTACCTTTTTTACACAATTCAAATAAATATTATAAAAATACAAACATAACAGCCTACATCTTTTGCTTACTAATCCTTTCTCAGCAAAATTTCCCTACAGTTTCATATTGTACATCTTTAATAAATTTGAATTTATTTAACGGTATGACATGAGAAACGTTTTTCCATAGTCAGCTACCTTTCCTAAAATCATGTATTGATTATTGTATTTGTTATTTTTCTTTTATCATCCATTACTGTTCATAATGAAATATCTTTATTTTTTCTAATTATAAAGTGAGACTGTTTCATGGTTAAAAGAAAAGGCAAACTGTAAAGAAATATACGATGTAGAAAATTGAAAACCACTCATAAATCCACTACACATGGAGTGGAATTTAGTACTCTATCATAAAGATTACATTTTAAATCAGTGGTTAGTCACTAAGTAGCTATTTGGGAAAATTAAGCTGGATCTATGCCAATTTTATCACCCTGATAAATGCCAGATGGATCAAAAATTAAACACAAAAAGAAACATAGAATTATTAGAATAAACTATGGGATAAAAGATGGATAAAATATGATGATACAAAAAACTATGACCTGTACAAAGCAAAACCATACATTAAGTCAAAAGACAAAAGTCAAAGCTGAAAAATATTTGCAATGCACATTACCAAGGCTGATTTCCTCAAACTATAAAGACCTCCTACAAATCAGTAAGAAGTAGTCCAAAAGAGAAATGGGCAAAGGATATGAACAGAATTCACAGACTAGGAAATACTGGTGGCTTTTCACATATAAAGATATAAGATATTCCACTTCATTCATGATAACAGAAAGGCAATTAGTACTACTAAAAGGTTAGACTATAAACAATAAGCAACTGCTTACATATACACATAGAATATTCTGTAAAGATTACATAAGAAACTGGTAACTCTGGGTGTACCAAAGAAGGGAACTGACTGGCTGAGGGACAAAAGTGGGGAACAAGAGCCTTTACTGAATAACTGTTCGGTTTTATAAAATGTTTTATCAGATGTACATCTTACCCATTCAAAAAGTAAATTTAAATTGCAACTATAACAGATAACTTAATAACAGATAATTCTCCTACTAGAAAAATTAATATATTTAAAATACTTTACCTTTCTGATTTTTCCAGTTGTAAAGTTCCATACTTCAATGAATCCATCAACAGACCCAGTAACCAGATATTGACCATCTGGAGAAAATCGAGCACACTCCACATGTGATTTCTGACCAAACTGTTTCAAATGAAACAATGAAACAGATGCATTTTTATCTACTGGCTTTAAAACAATTCCCATGTTTATCTTTTGAGAGCTCGGTCCTAGCACAGAACCATAGCCAGCCTATATTATGGAGTTTGGAAGGGCGTTTCTGTACCCAGACACAAAGAAATGATTGATATATTCTCTCCAACCAGTTTAACATTGAGGTTCACCATTGAAAATAATTTGATTTTTTTTTTTTAATGACATTGGTATTTCCAAAGAAAAACAAAAAAAAAACTATTTTAGCAAAGGACTTAGAACAAATAATCCTGTTAACTCAAACGGTAAGTTTTTACCAGAATCAGCCACTGTTAACATGATTTTCACACTAACTTAATATGGCATATGTTCCTATTTTTTTTAATTTGGGGGAAAAAATTCACTTTTTCAAAATAAATGGCTGTTTTCCTACACTGTTTTTTAAACAAATTTTTAATCACTGTTTCTTTTCATGACCTTAATCTGAACAAGTGATAATGTGTGACTGACTAACTCGAAGAGAACTAATTAGAGCTGACAGAAATGCTTGGGAAATGTATCCAGAGCATTTATCAGCATTGATGTTTCCATTAACAGATGGAAACTACAGTACATTAGACAGATGAGAACAGAGAAAAGGTCTATTATGAGTCTCATTTTAAATGCCCCAAAAGGAAGTGTTTAAAATAGAAAATCTTAGTCCAGCAGCATAATTTAATAGATTTCTATTTGTCACAAGGCTTTTGTCAAGGTAAATAAAAGTGCTGCTCAAAAATATCTTTACAAGCAAGTCAGAACATATAATCCAGAAAAGATAAATTCAAAATATTAAGCCAAAGATGTTATGAAATATTTCTAAGTCTATAAACTCAATCAGAGCACAAATCCAAAAAGAAATTGGAATAAAAAGGAGATGGTGAAGTAGCAAATACAGTTATAATTCTCGGAACTGCAACAATTACTTCATTATGCTTTTTACTAGAAAAGTCTCAGAAAGAAAAAAAAGGCCAAAAAACTCCAAGAACCAGCCATTAAGATGATAAAAATATTTTCATCAAACAGCACTGAAGCCCACTTTCCAGTCCATGCCTAGTCCTTTGCCAAACATATAGCAGGCAAAAACACAAATGTTGAACAGGAAAATTACATAAGAGAGTTCATGGTTCTTAGTCCCAGGTTTAACCTAAGAGCTAAAGCATTTTTCCAAATGCAGGGTTCCTGGGACAAAGTCCAAGGGCGGATGATGGGTCAATGTCCAATGAATATCCACTTGGTGATGCAGCTGAAGTGTGCCATTGCCAGGCCACAGGGGACCTCAGTGGTCACCAGCAGCAACCATGAATGTTGTCAGAGCTGAAGAATGACTTCTACTCCCCAGTCCAAGCTACTGGCACAGGGCCAGGCTGAGCAAGCATTTGCTGAGTCCCCAACAAGTGATTACCAACTGGGCAGTCCAAGGATCCTACCTTAATATGCCTGCTCAGCTGTGTAGGAAACTTTTCTTCTTCAACATCTTTGACAGCTGCTTTGCCTCTGAACAGATCTATGGTCATGCCAGGAGGAAGCAATCCTTGGTGCTGCTGCCACTTCAATGCCTATGAGAAGAGAAATCCACTTGGGTGCTTTTAAAATCTAGTCCTGATTGCTCAAAGCCTGAAAGGGTGAGGTTCACAGAAGTGTGAGTCATCCAGACCCACCATCTCTGGCCATCCAAACACAACACAGCCTGGGCTATTCTGTGTGTTCTAGGATCAGAGGTTGATCTCAAGGTAGAAGGGGATTCTCAGAGCCAATGGGTGCAAGTTTCTACAGCCATTTTCTTAACAGGTGTGACTCCTATTATAAATAAAATTTGAAAAACAAAAACTTCCCATAGTTCCCAACATCCAAACACAGCTACAATTAGCATTTCATATGTTACCTTTCAGTATTTTCCCCCAACATGTTTAATTTATATAGCTGTAATTATACCTTATGTAAAATTTTATACCCTGTTTTAACCTATAATTATATCATGCTATGACATAACCAACATTTTCTATTCTAACATTATATTCTCTACTAGTGGATATTTCATAGCTTATTTAATGTATTAATGGACATTTATATTGCTTCTAATTTTTGCACGCATCTAAATAAATAGCCTTGGATGTAAGGCTTTTTCTATTATCAGGATATTCTCCCCCAGAATTAGATTCCTAGAACAGAAATTACTGAATTGAAAAAAGAACACAAACAGCTAAGGCTCTTTAGACACACTACCAAAATGTTTTCCCAAAAAGATACAACTACAATAGCAATCACAACTGCATTACAGGGAATGGAAAAACCATGGACGTTGAAGACAAACATTTTGTCAACTGAGCTATTCTGAATCCCTAATTTGCCAACCAAAAGTCCAGAGAAAAGCCTAATTCCTAGAGTTGATAAAGGGATGAAACAATATATGTTACATTACACAGGGACATGATCAGTGTTTATTCTCTTTTCCCTTTGTTATATCAACAAAACTCAATAATTCTGGATGTCATTTAAAAACTCTAATGAGTGGAAAACTATGCCCTACTTTAGTAAATTCTCTGATTAGTCTGACCTTTTCTATTAATACATGTTTGTTAACGACATATACATCTTCTGTTAACTGTTTATGCATGTTCTTTGTTCACTTATCTACTGTTGGCTCACATTTTTCTTATCAATGTGTAAGCTTTGTAATGTGATCAAGATATTGTATCTGTTCATATTTCCCAAAAAGAATTTTTTCCCCCAATCTACCTATTTATTTATTATAGATTTAAAGGTTTCATCTAAGTTAAACTCTCAAGTAATGAAATTTGTTGACCTTAACCTTGATGTCTACTCCCTAAATCACAGGAAGTCCTGTAATAGGAAGTCTGATATATTACTACCTAAGTTGATCTATATTCTTAAAATATATATCTGAAATTATGATTATAAAATATGAGGGAAGACTCTGATCTGACATTTCTCCCCTATTCTAAAGTAGGTGCCCCAACACCATACGCTAAGTAATTCTTCCTGTCCGTAGGCTCTGTGACAGTCTCATTACCACCTACTGAGTTCTGATAAATAATAGGGTCAATTTATTGCACTGCTGTTGCACTGGATGCTGACTACCAAAATGATCTGAACTACGAACCTCTGTTAAACGCTTCACTATTTCTAGGGCTAATATGTTGAACATTCTTCTTCCCAAAATTTCTTCGATGAATATACTTCTCTAAGTTTATATTTCCAGATGAATACTAGAATTATTTTGTGATACAGTTCTAAACCCATTGTGAACTGGTATCAAGTGTCAAGTCTTATCCAGGAAAATCAATATTTTATCATCTTCTCAAATTTATTTCTCCTGGAAGCTTTGAAAGGATTCTGCCGTTTTAAAAAATGAAAATCATTTTTTTCTCACAAAAGTTAGGGCTAGAATTTTTATATTGTAGAAACAAGAACTCTGTTCTCATTGAATATTTGAACTGGCTAGTGCTGATATACAGAAATGCAATCAACTTCTGTATATCTTATATCTCACAAATTTACTAAATTTTCAAATTAATTCTATGATCACTATATTATTTCTAAATACTGTTCTACTTTCTTTTCAAAATCCATATTTTGCTTATGTTTCATATTTTACTGTAATGACCAGAGGACTTATCTCCAATCAACGGGTACTCTCTGCACTCTTTACCTTGCAGTTTCAAAGCACTCCCATCTTTTAAAGGAAAAAACAAAAACCCCTCTCTTGCCCTCTGCTCTTCAGCTACTATGGCCCTCTTCCTTCTACATCACCTTCATCTCCTTCTTTTTAACTACCAAGCTTCGTAAGTCACCTACACGTGCTGTCTTCACACCTCAGTTAATTTGCTATAACATAGCTTCTGTCCCTATCTTTCCACTGGAAGTGCATCTCAGATATCCCTATGACCAAAACCAGACTCCTTTGTGACCCTAATCTTCTCCATGATCTTGGCTGCTCTCAACTACAATAACCACTCATCTGCTTCAAACTCCTATTGCTTTTTCTAACACTATTCTTCTTGGTTTCCCTTTTCATCTTTCTGGTTGTTCCCTTCTCTGTTCATCCTATGGACTTTAAGTGTTCCCTATGGCTTTCTTTTCAAATTTTTACTTTTCTTAGTCTACCTGCTTTTCCTAGGTAGTCATATTTTCATATATGACTTCAATTACTACTGCAATTTCCAAATCTATAGCCATAGCCAAAACCTCAAAGTTGAAGTTCAGAGCCACAAATCCCAGTACATACACTGGACATCTCCACCTGTATGTCCCATAGGAACTTCAAAATTAGTACATCCCAAACTGATGGTCTACTTCATCCTAACAAACTTGCCCTTCTTTTTACATTCGCCACCAAGTCAGCGAAGCCAGAATCCTAAAAGGGCAACCCAGAATGAAAGCCTCACTCACTCCTCAAATCTAACCATTAAATGTGGAGGACAACATGAGTTTATTTCCACTCTTTCTAGAAACCCCACTGAAGTGACAATAATAAAGGAATTAAAAAGGTACATAACCCAAAAAGGCAGAGAGAATGAAAAAAGTAACAGCAGAAGAAAAACGTTAAATTTAAGAAGCTGCAAAGAGAATGGACCAGCTTGGAAACCAAGAAGAACAGATAAAAAATGAAACCTAATTACACAAGATGGGGATGAAGGAGCCATAAGCAGTAAGCCAAACTACCCTGCAAATTCCAAAAAAGCTTAGGAATTGAAGGAGCCACACATCCCCTCAAGGACAAGGCAGGGCATATGGCAATGATAAAATGAATGAATCTCCCACCCTCTCTTATGGCCAGTTTCAGAACATCAGTTAAGACTTTATTTTCCCTTGGTATGACTTTTCTCTGGAGTTGAATTAGATGTTTTTCTCAATATTTCTGTCAAAGCTTCCTTAAAAATCCTCACTTGGTTTTTTGATCATGGTTCATCTGTCCTTTTCCAGACTATAAATTATCCCAAGGGTGATGGGGCTTGGTCTCTTGTCTTCTGTACACAGTTGAATGGGAGCCATTTGGTTTGAGACATCTAAGAGTTGACTGGTGGAAATGGCATACAGAATGGTGGGGAAATTGGTGGAGGCCATGAGTGGTACCTAGAACAACTTACCCTGGTGCTCCACTTAAACCAGAATGTTAATGGGAACATTAACAAGTTCTCTAACATGCAAGAATCTGCCTTCCACTTTCATTGTATACTGTCATGAATAAGTTGAAAAAGGAATGTTTTAACATCTGATATAATCCCATCACTCCTTATTTGTGGGATCGTGTGAAGGAATAGACCAATATCCTGATCTGACTTTATAAACCATTTAATGAATAATTAAAAAATAAACCATATGATTCATTCCTCTGTAGTTGTCTTTTAATAAAACAGGCATGTGAGGACTTCAGTGGTCCAGTGGCTAAGACTTCATGCTCCCAATGCAGTGAGTATTGGTTCCACCCCTAGTTGGGGAACTAGAGTTCGATCAAAAGTTTGATCAAAGATCCCACATTCGGCAACTAAGACCCGGTGTAGCCTGGTTTTAAAAAAAAAGTTTATGTTTATTTATATTTGGCTGCACCGGGTCTTAGTTGTTGAATGTGGGATCTTTGATCACACTCTTAAGAGTTGTGGTATGCAGACTCTTAGTTGGATCATGTGGGATCTCAAAAGAAGAAATCCTAAAGTTGCAACTGGGGTCCTTGCTCATAAAATTGCCTGTGTCACTAATAGAAGGCTGGAGAATCAGGATTCCCTTCAGGTCTCTGGGGCAACAGACCAGGTGACCAATCAACGCTCGTAGGCCTAGGCTTATTGTTGGAGGTGTAAATGTTGCTATGACTACTGAATCCTTGGTGACTAAACAGAAATGAGAGCTTGCTCAGTCTCCTAAGACTACATCAAGCAAGTCTGTAGACATGTCCACGGAAAAGATGGGAAAAGTAGAAGAGGTACGCAGAGTTGGAAAAGGCTGCTTTGTATGAGTTTCCCCTGGATAAGGTTTCCAGATGAATTTATCAGAAATTGACAGTTCTTGAGCGAGGCCTTTGATGTGACTGAAGGGTAGTAGCAGGAGTGGGAGATGCACATAGTAGGTATTCAGATATTTGTTGCATACTAACCTCTGCATAATAGGACTTTCTCCACACCTGCCCTAGGAAGTTGGCTACTCCCCTCTCTCTGAAAAGAAAGGTCTTTTTCTCCCACTGTGTTAGGGCGCTGAAGGTGAGGTACTAGAGATCAAGGCAGATAACAGAACTCCCTTTTCTTGCAGCATTTTCAAAGGGCCCTGGGACTTAAGAAGATGGTGGACAGGTAATCTCTGCTTCTGTCCTTTCCCTTACCCTTCATTTTCACTCTCCTGCCCTCCTCTGATATCCGCTTCATCTTGTTAGGGGCTCCTCAAAAAGGCAAATAGGTGTGAAGTGGGCAAGAAGCAGCCCTTGTTTCCCATCCTCTGAAGGAAAATTGGAGCAAGTTTTTTTTTTTTTAATCTTTTTAAGGAAAATTCAAATATTTGTTGTCTGGCATCACACTCACCAACCACATGGTAGGTATGCAGTAGGTGT